TAGAAACTTCAATAATAACGACAGCTTGCCATCTTATTAGTCACCAGGACCTAAGGACATCTGCTATCCGTGTTACCAAATCTTTCCTATCCTGATGATTTCATTAAAGGTCCCGCCCAATTAGCCCCATCACGAGTATCGAGGCCATAAATAATTAGTTAGATCACAGGGAACCACCACAATTAACCAGCAAATGCCACGAAGCACCCCTCCACACCCCTCGCAGGACGGACACTTTCCCTCTTCGCACACACTATCTTAACAAAATGGCAATCAATTTCTCGCGCTGTAAATTAACAATCGTGCTGGGGCTCCAGTGGCGGCGTCTGAAAGGGGGGTCGGTAGAAGGAAGGACCCAGCACGGCAGCTGCTAACTGCCAAGGGGGGGACTCCTCCCCGCGGTCTTGATGCCTCAGCTAACCAGGGCCCGCAATCAACGTACATTAATATGCACGAAAACAATAAACAATCCAAAGGGGGCAGGAGCGGCAGGAAGGACGAAGGCTTCCAGGGACGGAGTTGCAAAAGGGGGGCCCCCGGTGTGGGCAGAGGCGTTACAGCGGCAATCATGCAAAAAGCAAGCAAACGCCGCCATTACGGCCATCCCGCTCTCTCGCTTGTGAGCCCAACTCAACTGACAATATTTATTGCAAATGCAGCAATAAATTTCAAAACACCATTCGCTAAGCACCACATGGGGTCTCGAAAATTGAAGATAAATTTTAAGGCGGCAATTTATGATTTGTGAGCATAAGCGCTAGGCAGGGGCGTAGCGCTGCCGAGGCGAAGGGGGTTCGGGCACAGCCGTGGCTAAGTCCGCCGCTGACAAGTGTGGAGTGTTTGCCGCCGCACTCCTTTACTCACGAATCCTTTCCCCAAACCCCTTCGACTCCCTTTCTGGTCGTTTTTCAATTGTATCTGCCGCGATTTTACGACTGCCCGCTGTGCCTTTGACAGCAGTCCGCACCGATCCCACGAGACCCTAATATTGCATCGAAAAGGGTTTTATTGTGGAAGATCGATTTTAAAATTTGAAATCTATTTTGAAACAACGAAATATTTGCTAAAAAACAAAGTTTTAAAAACAAATATTCTTGGAATATAAAATCTAGATCATTTTTATGATCAATCATGATTAATTTTTTGATACATTCTTAGGATAAATGATAAATAGGACCTTCCTACAATCAATCTAATAATTAGGATGACGAATTTGTATTCAATTATTTTCTGAATATAAAGTTTAAGGATTTTTTTAGGTGTTCAAAGCCTGAAACCCTTGGACACCAAATAGCAAATTTTAAAAAGAAACTTATTTCCCTTAAAACAAAATATGTAAAACAGAAGACTGAGTGAATTCTATTTTAAAATTCTGCGAATTTGATCATTTTCCAATGCTGTTTCATCGTTGGTCGAAAATTAAGTTAATAATAAATAGAAAAAACCTAATTAAAATTCAGTTTTAGCTAAAAAATTGAATCTTAAATAAATAAAACGTTCAGTTTGATTTTAATTCAAGGCTAAAGGTGGAAAATTAAGTGTGTCTTCAAGAAATTTAATAAAATGCTCTTTTGTTACATCAAATATGAGAAGAAACTACATTAAAGTTCTCATTATTTTCAATAAACGCCAACGCTGTATAAAATATATTATGTTCGATACCAAGTTTCCATATATAATCAAATCTAGTTCCGATGTTGACTTTTCGAAATCATTCCCCATTATTGTGCACCACTGTGCAGACCCAACGTTCTCCTTACAACACCTCGGTGCAATTATTCATTAACTCGCTTTCCGGGGAACCACGTACGGAGAGAGGGGAGGGGAGGGGGAAGAGCTGGGCTGTTACCAAACCGCCAGACAGGATCTGCTCTTCTCCTGGCCGCCGCACAGCAGCCGCGGCCAAAGCGGCAACGGCAAGATGCAAACAACAATCCGCTTCAAGTCGAAAATAAGAAAAAGGTTTATGAATGCGCACATGAAAAATGGAACATCGTTAAGAGCAATTCATAATGAAATACGCTGCAAGTGGCGGACTGGAGGAGTAGCCCAAGTCCAGGTCCAGGTCCCAGGTTGAGGTCTCAGGTCCAGGCCCGGACCTGGAGCAACTGCAATAAGCTGAGCCCAGGCGGTCGCCGGGCTTCGGATTCCACTCGCTGGAAGCAGCATAAAAATTATGACCATAAGCAGGATATTGGGTTAAGGTTTTATTTCTTCCTACCTCCTTGTGTGTGTATGTGTGTGTGTGTGTTGCCAATAAACTTTGTTGCTGCCGCAGCTTATTTCCACTTACCTTTTTGTTTTTCCCCGTTTTCCTTACCTGTCGAAATGAAGCTGTTGCACTCCAGACGAAAGCGGTATTTCAATCAGAGCTGAAAATAAGGGAATACCATGCCATATGGGAGTATGAGTATGAGTATGAGTCTGAATAAGAGTATGAGCATGAGTATGAGTATACATATGTATATACTCATGCGACTGCCTTATCAATAATTTCGTTTTCATATGCGCATCGCCAGAAAGATACAGATGGGGCCATAAATATGAGTCGGAGAGCAGTGGAGTGGCTAGGGAAATTTATAGAGTCTGTTGCTCGTGCTGTCAGGTGAAATAAATAATAAATTCGTTATTTTTCGAGGCTCGGCCAGCGACGACCACGACAGTAACTCCAGGGGCGTATGATGGGGGCACGCCCACAGTCAGCAGTCCGGACCACGGACCACGGACTCCGGACACCGATCGTCGTGCACTCTGCACAGCTGCAAATCGCACTTGGACATCGCGGGGGTCGTTGGGGAAAACAAATTTGAATTCAATGAAAGATGAAATCATTAAGTTTGCAGGCAATTGGAGGCGGCTCCGGCTGGGGTTGGCTTTAATCGTGTCAGAGAGCCATACAATGGAAGTTGGCGGGCTTTGGGCTTGGGATTGGCCTGGTCGGAAGGAGACGATGGGATTGCCAGGGCGGTTATGACACCAGCAAGACCATAAACAGGATGCAAGGCAATCCAAATAAGAACTCAATTACAAAAGGATAGTGGGAAGTAATGACAAGGAAAATGAATTTTTAATTACAATAAAATATGCATAAAGTAGACTACCAATCAAAGCAATCAACATCAAAAGTTTTGGTAGTCTGTAAAGGTTTATCAAGAGTGAAAATATTTATTTTGTTTGTAATTAATTTATTAATTTGTTATCAAAGTTTGGCAGGTTTACACTTACAATAGTCGTACTAACCTCATGTAGGCTACCCTTAAAAAATGTCAGGATTTATTACCTTAAATCAATTGTAAACATAACCTATTCTTTTTTTTTCTAATCTAATCTAATCTATTTTTAAAGGACTCTCAACTAAGACAGAAAAAACATTAATTTTGTTTCCAAAAGCTCTTCTATGATTGTTTTTATTAGGTTAATAAGTCTGCATACTCAATTTAAAATAAAAAAAATAGCCATTTTTGCCAATTTTTGTTTTTTGTCTGAGATGGCTAGATCAACTCGGCTAATGATGCTGATCAAGAATATATATGATTTATAGGGTCGGATATGACTCCTTCACATTGTTACAAGGTTCTGACTAAAATTATAATTCCCTGCAGCAATACAATTGGCATTACTTATCATTTGATAGATTTAGGTAGTTCTTATAAGTATTTAAATACACAATGTCCGATAACAGGACTTCCTTTTATTTGTGTATATATTTCATTATGATAACTTAAAGTATACAAAAGCTACAAAATGGTTTTTAGTTTGCAAGAATACTTAAAAAAGGAATTTAATTGAGACCCAAAAATCCTAATGTTGCATACTTCTCGATTTTCAATCCTCAGCGGTTTCTGAACATTAATTTTCGAATCTTAGCAAATTCCATTCCCATTCCACTGATCCAAAGAAGAAACTTGATTCCACGGCAATTGTCGCCACTCCGTGCAGAATAGGGAAAAATACGGTGGCTAATGAAAGGCATAATCAACTTCCCATATTGCATACACAATTGATGCCAATGCCCGGGCCATGGCTAATAAATATCAAAAGCCACACAAATTTGCCTGTTGGCCAACTTCGAAGAGTTCGAAACAGAAAAAACTATACAAGAGGGGAAAAAAAACAAGCAAAAGAGCCGACAACAAAAGCGCACATAAATCAACGATCAAGACAATTGCGGTGTAATAATTTTAACTTCTTTAAGTCGGCAGCCAGCCCACACCGCACATTCTGCACCACTCCAACTTCAACTCCAGCTTCAACTTCAACTTCAAGTCGATCTGATTCGGCGGGAGACCATAAAAATAACAGCTTATCGGCCAGAAGAATCGTGTCGTGCCACGCCCACCAACTCAAAAAGGCATTAAAATATGAAAAACAACAATTGCAGGCTGGGGAGGCGCTGCAACTCACCTCCAGGTGAAATCAACAGCGGCCTGGGAGTCTCACAGAGTGGCCGGCACGCCCCCTTTTCTTCATTGTAGGCGTCAGCCGTTGGCAGCGGCACGTTTTCCCCCCAACCCCCCTGTGAAATTCCAAGGCCCACCCCTGTGCCACCCGGCTCCCCACCCACCACTAGCACCACCACCTGCAGCATCCCAGGTATCGGAGTCGAGTAAGAGGCTAAACCGAAGATAGGTATATAGGCGTATCGGGGCACAATCCTTGCCCCAGTGGCCATTGTTCGACCGCAGACAGATTAAAGTCCGCGAGAGGGATCGGTTTTGCAGAGCACGGGGGCAGCTGGGGCACTTACAACTTAGTTAGTTTGGGCCAGAATTGCAGGCGATATCTCAATTTGGGGCTCATAAAAATAACGAGTAATAGGCCATGTCTAAGCGGTGGCCAAAAAGAAAGGCAGGGCAAGTCTATGGCCTAAAGCCAGTAACGATGTTAAGGACACAGACATATAGCTCCACTCTTTTATGACAGACGATGAAATAGGGTTTAAAGGATTTACCTTATGTATATTATTACCAACTTATGCAATTTAGGAGTAGTAGACATTGATTAGGTAGTCAAACTCCATTCAAGCTTCTATATCAAGCTCATTTTGTACACACACAAGTTAAACCCATAGCCCAAAAAACACAAAAAACTTTTGCCTTATGCTGGACTCCCCCCTCTGAAGCTGGGACCACAAAATTTACCATCAAAGGCGGCATCATGTCAAAGGCCCTGGAAGGTGGCAAATCAAGTGCAATGGAGAGCACCAAGAAGCGAACTTCACATATCACACCCACTCACCGCCAGCTGGCATACCTGGATGAGCTCAAAACACACCTGCTCTTAATGCGAGAGCGACAGGCGATCTTTATGGAACAAACGGCCAAAATGCTAACCGGAATCAGCTCCGTCAACATGGTGGGTCATGAGCCGACGGCTGATGGAACCTCACCATTGACGGAAGTGAACGAGGGTGAAGCCAGGAGTTCCCAGAGCAATCCCAATATCAAACAGCTAATCCAGAGATTCGAGGATCTACGCCAGAGCTCGCAGGTAACTACAGAAGGAACATATCTTGATTGATGTATAGACTGAACATAATACTGATAAAATTGTAAATTCTTCGCTCTTATCATGAGAATTGATTAAGCTAATTCAGTGTTACACAAAAATTGTCTTACATATTGATATTTTCTCAGAAATTTACCGATTTGCCAGATGTTCCCGAAGAGCTCATCAACGTGGATGTGCGTCGCATCCTTCAAGGCTACGAAAAGCTGATCGAGGAAGGCAACATCATTCAGCAGTCGTGGCTCCTGCTCAAGAATTCCACTGAGACTTGTGTGCGTTTTGCCAACAATGGTGTGTTTTTCGAAGACCAAGCCAAACCAAGTAATCCAACCAAGACCAAATTGAGAATCGCAGAGGTTTCCGATGTGGCAGCAAGGGGTAGTATGCAGGTGATCATGTCGCCAGATGAGGGTCGTATGTCACAGGATCCAAACGGTGGCCACGGTCCAGAGCTCTTGGACAAAGATTGGGAGCTCTTTGAGGCCAAAAAGGGTGTCAAGAATAGCTCCAAGAACCGTGGTAAGCTCCCGTGGTAATGGCATAGAGTAAAAAGCTCGTAGGGACACAATCTCTGGTAGCTTATTACTCTATGGGGATAGCACACTGAACAGTTTCATGTAGCCTCAACCGAAGAACTTCCTGAATTCTAGGCCATCCTCGTATGGGACCCTTCCTGCGGCTCATTTTCCGACTACTACCACTACATTGTGGTATTAAATCCTCCAAGAAGCCGACCAAGAAATGCTCTTCCACCTTGACTGTCAGAGTGCCTACCAAAAAGCCTGGAAAGACCAGAATGCGCAGCCTGCTCCAGAATCCAATCACACAAAATGCACAAGTAGAAATGCAGACCTAATCCCATTCCATACACCAAACTAATACCCCTAAAAATATCCCAATAAAACCCGCACACACCAAAAAACCCGCATAAATCAATGGGCAACACCAGCCATCAGCGTGTCAATATTTTGCCTAATTAATGTGGCCCGGCTTGGGTGCAGTTGCGCATCAATTTCGGGTGTCAAGTGCAATGGGGGGGAACGAGAGATCGCTCTGTGGGTCCCCTCCTCGGTGGAGGAGCCACCACCACCACCACCATTCCGGACCACCATCGGTTAATGTAGCCGTAGCCACCGCCACGATGGTGGGATATGGGGAAGGCGACGTATGGCAGCAACTGCTGCGCTGACAGCGCATTTTAGTCGCCCATGGAATACCGAAAATAAATCTTGCCAAGATGCGACACACAGACAGAGAGCAGGTGCACTGAAAGAAAATGGAAACCAGAAAGAATTTATAACTGAGTTGTTAGTATTTTGACCTAAAATCATGACATTGACAACATGAAATTATATCAAAATGAATTGATTTTCTAGATCTCTTTGATATAATATATATTATTTAATATTGAATCAGAAGCTATCCATGCAGGAAATATTTATAGGGTATAATTAGGGATCTACATTGAGTGGTTTGAATAGAGATCGATATAATACAGAGGCAATAGGATATCTCTTTCCATATAATCAATCATAAGCTTGATATATCGTATTCTTAACTAAGAAAAATATATCCCATTTGAAGTTCGTACGTTATATACCCCCAAAATTTAAATTCATTTATATGTATCTTTTTCCAAATATATTCTGACACATCCTTTTTCAATTATATTCCAAAATAATACATAAAATATAGAATTATTCTATGTATATTGCAGCATTAGAATACCAATACCATATAGAAATATCAATATTATCTGTTGTTAGTTAATTCTACTATTTTCCTAGCTTTCCTCGATAGCTTCAAGACATATAGAAGTATAAAAGGTGTGAAAAAAGTATTTAATACATTTTTCCATCTCTTTAACTCCTTCTTATTAAACAAAGCACACAAAACTATTTCTCAGTGTACTAAAGGAGTGATACGGGGTCGAGGAGAGGGGTGTAAACACAAAATGCAACGAAGACAAAATACTTTGCCGCACACAACACACACGCATAGCGAGAAATAAACATTTAAATTTAAATTAAGTGGCTTGTTCAGCATCTTCGAATGCAGCAGCTAATGAGCGCCCCTCCGTGTGGGAAGGGATTGAGATAAATACAGGGAGGGGGCAGAGGGAGGGATCTCAGCAGGAAGCTTTCACATTGGGATTATCAAACGAAATTGATATATTTACTTAAGTGCGTGTCTATATGTCTGTTTGCGGTGAGATATGCATCATCGCTGGGATCAGATTAGCTCGAAACATTTATTGATTGAGACTGTTTTCTAAATGGATTTGGGGGGAAAAAATTTGAGAGATGCCACTTGAAACAAGTGAGACACGAAAAAGAGATATGAAAAGCTTTAAGAGTTGTGAAAAAATATATATTCAGAACCGTATTGTTGCAATAACTTCCCAATTACCTTTTAATTGCATACAGATTGTTTGATAATTTCCACACAAAGCTATCTCTTTTCTATATATTTTCCATTCAAGACAGAAAAAATTCTTACAAATCTTTTAATATAATGAATATTCTTCATGGGAAGAACTTAAGCTAGTTAAACAAGTTACTTAAAGTAATATCCCCGGAAGATTGCAACTTTGGCCGGGAAATAAATCAAACTGTCCACTTTTATAAGTCCCTAATTAATTATAATTAAATTACATGCATTTAAATTCAGCAATAGCAGGTCTTAACTAGAAGGCAAACATGAATTCCAGCCACACCTTAGCGCCCATAATAAGAAATCATGTTTGGCAATGATTTGTGGCACCAACGCCGGTTTTCAATGGAGTGAATATATCTTTTATCTGTGGACCTGACACGAGTTTGCGATGGCGATGGCGATGCTAATCAGCAACATGCCGCCGCATGCAACCAGCTGGGGAGTCACAAATACACACTATACTATATAATACTATATAAGCAGAGATGGTGCAACATCTGTCCGCAGATCAGCAAGGGGCATCAAACGAGTTGTTGAGGGGACCTACTGATATTATTTATTTGCCATCTGCAGGTGGGAAGTCTCACATTGTTTACTCTTATGGATTGTGATTTGGGAATTGCAATAAACTTTGACCCCGGCTATAACTATGGGTAATGAGGCTGAGCTAGACTGAGAGTAATACAACGAATACTTATACTCAAGAAGCAAAAAATTGTTGGTTTTTTACCTGCCTCCTCCTTAAATGCATTGTAATCTCCGATAAAAAGTTATTTTTGTGGCAGTGTTTAAATAAATAACCAAGATATAGGCAGATAAACATCCCAAATGTCGACGCCTAGTCCAATATCTGGGCTGGAAAATGTTAAATCCAGTTCCGTGGAATGCCCAGCAATTGTTAACTGACACAACAAACAGTTCTGGGAAATTCGTCATCGCACAGTTCCTGGGGGCGGCATCCCGAAAGCAACACGCCCACATATGTGGCACTGTGAGTCGGTGAGGAGGAGGGGCGTGGCAAGTGGCAGTGCTGTTCGCTTTGATGTTGCACCGACCGACGTCTGTTCACCTAATTATCACACTATTTGAGGCATCGTAAAAGCGAGACGGCCGAAGGTAACGAGTGGTGTGGGTGGGTGGGTTGGTGGCGGCTTTCGGGGCGGTGGTTCTGGCCACAAAATTCAAATGGAATGCAGGCCGGGCCGAGCGTTTCATTTCGGTGCATTTGTCGTGCATATGGGGCGCATCATAAACCCATAAATGTGTGAAAGGCAAGCGGCAAGATCAAAGACCTTTCCGTAAAGAAACTCGGCAAAATTGAGGGAAGCGGAAACAATGTGTTAGATTTACATTTCAATTTGAATATGCAGGGGGGATTTAGTGGAATGAATTTAGAGATATTTCATGTCTGTGCCTTACATGTCATATAATATTAATTGAAGTCTTTCAATAAGCGTTTTAAAGTGCAGCAACAGCTATATTTTATAATATTTCCATACTCTTCCAGTTTTCCCTAGTTCAATTGATTTGTTTTTAAAGTTCATAAGCTGATCCCAAGAACAGCTAAAGTTCTCTTTCCCTGCTAAACATTCGAAAAATCCCCGAAAAGCATTCATCTTATTTTTCAGGGACTCCCCCCGTAACTGACTCTCATTTCAGATTACATTAATCTCAGTGTACAAAGCAAATTAGCAGCAATTTACATCCGTTCTAATGGGGCTCGATGCATTCTGAGAGGAGTTTGGTGGGGCGGTGAATTAGACCTTGGTCCGGCGGGAAATGGAAAATCCCGACCACCGCCAGCTGCACTTGCACATGCAAACTAATAAATTTTATTGATGTGTCTATTTTTGGTTGCACTCCCGCTTTTCCCCGCTTTCCATGGCTTTCCCTGTGTCGAACGATCCAAAAGAGCCCCGAAGTGCCTGCAACGGAAGCAATTTGTAGCTACAAGCTGTAATTTCTGCTTTTCCGACCCGAAACCCGGACGCCAACGCCTCCTCTGACATTCCTCGACCAAATAAAAAAGACGTCGATAATTCTTAAGCAACGGCGCGAAAATCGGGCAAATTTTCGCTGTCAGTGGTCGGAACCTTGTTTGGGGAGGGAAAAGGAAGCCTCGTTGGCTTTAGCAAAGCAATTGCTGCACATTTTATTTAACCCTTTTTATGGCCTCATTATGGCCCGAAAGGAAGAGCGGAGAGTGCAGACAAAATATATGTCTTTTCTACTGAATTTCGGGTTGGGGCTGAGGCGGGTGCGAAATGTCTGGCGGAAATGAGGCTAGGAATCAAGCAAATAAATGTTTTATAAAATGTATCCAGCACACAAAGTAACAGGCAGAGCGCCGTTCCCCAACAATTCTCGAGCCATTAAAATGAAATTTATCGTTCACAATGTTTTATGGTTTTCGAAATTTCGGTGCAAAATGGAGTTACTTGGTAATTTGGACGGAAAATGAATGTTACCAAGTCATGGGTTCATATAAAATGTTACTTTGTCTCTTAATATTTCCCCAGATATTTCGGGTATTTAATAAATTATCGGATAATATTTTACAGGCAGTGAACTAAAGCTAGTTGGGGGTTTTAAACTATGGATAATAGGTTTTAAATCAGATGTATTTGGAAATAAAATAAGAAGTTTTATATGTGAAAATAAAGTAATAGGATTAGGATAGGAAAAGCAAGTATCATACTTTACCTTGAACCTTATTAGAATGTTTGTTATATCAAGAGGAAGTTTTGAGTTGAGAAGATATATTAATTATCGAGTAGCTCTTAGTCAGGGACTTCTACTAGAGTCTTCTCTTGGGTTTACAATTTAATTAAGCAACAGGAAAGGGGTTTCCACACAATTTAGTAATTACTATTAACTCTAATAATTTTGTCCTACATATTTCCTTGTTATATATTTTATTTTTAGCCCTTAAAGCCTCACCTATATCCTTCTCAGGGCTCCTGCGAAGCATGTATCAATTCGAATCAAATTGTTTTGCTTTCGCACTGGACCCCAGTTCGTTCGTAAATCTCTTCAGCTGCAATTCATATTCCCCACAGCGAGGTTTCCCTTCGTGGACCCCACCAAAGAACGGGGTGGCTGTGGGAAATTAATAGCGGCTAAAACTTTCAACTTTTGCCGGGAGAGGACCTGCAGCAGCATCGCCAGGAGCAGGAGCAGGAGCTGGAGCTCACTTACTCATTCATTCAGTTTAGCTGGGGAACTTGTGGCCATAAATTTGTGCGCAGCGCAAAAGTGGAAAATACACCGAAAAATTGCAGAGGCAAGTCGGCCTGCGGCCGTCGACCTGGAAAACCCTGGTGTTTTCCAACCAAAGAGTCCTCCTTTGGGGCCGAGTGTGTGTGAGCTATCTAGCGCACTTTCAGCGCGACGATAAATTTCCAAGGCAAAATGTGTAAATTATAAATACGAGCAATTATTTTAACTCTACTTAACAAATTACCATGCCGTAGCATATGGGGCAAAAGGTATAAATTACCGACTTTTACGACTTGCGGAAATTG